TTTAGGGAGTGGCGGGGACGGTGGCGAGGCACAGAACACGCACCCAGCTTTTGGGAGGCAGCCCCTCTCCGCTCTGCGAGATCGTCACCCTATCGAACGCTGAGCCAAGTTTACCAGATCTCGGAGTCTTCCCCCCAAAAAGCCAAATATCTGGATTTTTTTTTAATGTGGAAAAACAAAAAATCCAACTTTTAAAAACATGGTGTTGGCCACATGAAACCGCTGAGCATCAGATAAGGCCAGAGGCCCGCCGGTCAGCACTGCCGGACCTAACCCTCCGTGGCTCAGCTGGCTTCTTACACGCACTCCAGGCTCCTAGGAAAAACCCCGCAAGGGCCCCTGAAAAGCGCTCTTCTAATATTATTCTGTAGCAAAAGAACGTTTTAGGCACCGCGCGTTTAACGCCAATAACAGACGAACTCACCCCACCTGCCATGAAGTCGGGGGCCGCCGTTTTCACCAGGTTGCTGGTAAACGCCATGGACGTCGTTGGCGAGGAGGTGGCGTCCTGTCGTCTCTTTCTGTGTGTGCGTGTGTTTAACCGAAACCACTCGTGAAACATTGATTTCTTTCTTGAAAAGCAGCTTTACCGAGATATAATCCACATACCTACTACAATTCTGTGACTTGGTGTATTCACAGGGCGCGGTAAGTCTTGGGCTGAAGGATATTATTTACATAATCTTAGAACATTCTCATCCCCCTAAAAGAAGCCCCGTCTCCATCCCCATCAGCCGTCACTCCCCTGCCCCTCACCCACCAACCCCTGACTACCACTAATCTACCTCCTGCTTTATGAACTGGTCTCTTGACGTAGGTCTTGAGATCAAGACCTAAAAGAGTGATCTTTTCTGAATCGAGATTATCGTTTCATTAAAAAACGTTTACTGACGAGTATTCCCTTCTCTGTGTATATCATTCTTTCACTAACCAGAGAACAGCCATCTTATTGAGAAAAGGTATGGTATTTCTTCCTTATTCACCAGTGAAATATTCCAATTCTAGAGATATTACGGGTATAAAGTCACTTCGGTACCCTTTTCTCTACCTCAGCCGTCCACCCCCGCGGCCCACAGCCAAGGCCCTGCTGTCCCCACCTGCAGGCCACACTTGGATGGGAAAACTCGGGCTCAGGCAGAAGGACTTAAGTAGCTCTGGATGAGGCTCCGGTTCTCCACACACCACTGCTCTGCCCTCCGCCTCTGGTGCCTGCCCAGTTGGTCCTGCAACGTCCTTGCAGGTTAGATGAGGCACCGCAGCCCTGAGAGCTGGGGAAACCACACGGACCTCAGAGGCTAGCAGAAGCCCACGTGTGGTGGATCGGGGTGGTGGTGCGGGTGTGTGTGTGGGACACAGTCCTACCTTATAGCCCTGAGTTCACAGCCCTGTGCTCCTTCCTTATCCCGAGTTCCTCCATCCTTTATTTATGGCACCCTAAAAAATAATAATAATCAGGTTTTTTGAGTATGGCTGACCTCTTCAGACAGTTTGGTTTACTGTTTCTACTCCTTTTTAGAAGCTGGCCCTTTTCGATGAAGAGAGACGAGAGAATTCACATAGCTCGGCTTTAGGACTCGTTGCACGGGAGAAAACAGTATCCTCCAACTCAAGACTCACAGCCCCCCTGCCTGCGTCTTGTATTTTTTTTACATCAGAGTTAAGTTTCAACGGCCTGTTGGAAGCAACATTTGGGCAGACGTTTTTGTAGTTTTTGTGATAAATTCTTATTTGGCTTGCTATAGTTCACTGTATCCAAACAGGTGTAACTTTAGTCTAGTTGGGAATTGGTAAATACTCAAAACGTTCATGTTTGTCTATATTTGAGATCCCCCACAGCACCCCAAATCCATCTTCTTCTTTTTAATTTATAAGAACGAGGTGCATTAGCTATCCTCGATTTTAGTACCCTAACATTTACTGATCACTTATGATTCTATTTTTCCTGCCTTCTGATTTAGAGAGACCCAGATGCTTCTCTCCAAAGATGGAAGAGGAAGATTAAAACAATAATTTGCAGTAAGTACTCTCTCAGCTATTAACTGATTTATTCAACGGACTTTGCTTAGTGCCTGTTGTATGCCAGGCACCCGCTAGGTGCCTGGGATACAAAGATAAGATGGGGCCCCTGCCTTTCAGGGGTGCAGTGCAGTGGGACAAGCAGACACATAGCTGGGTAATTACAATTGTGAGCACGGTAATGAACATACAGAATATCGTGGGATCACAGAAGAGAGGTACTTTACCCCAGAGGGTGTCAAGGCAGCGTCGGGAAAAACAGAAATGATGTTGATGAAGCTCTGTAAATCACTTGGCTGCAGTGGGCAAGGGAGAGGATGGTCAGGTTTTTTGAATTAGATGACTTTGTCATTTGGGATAAAACACCCAATAACACTAAAGTAAATATATATGCCAAATGTGTGGCTAATGATTCATGCTGAAAAAGGTAAGGGTCTAATATTATAAGTAAGTGAACATCAAGTTGGCAGGATTAGAGCTAGAAGTTGTAGGGTTTATTTGAAAGTTTCTTCCTTTTTATATCTCTCCCTCCCTATATCACGGAAAAACAAACGTGAGAAATGTGGTACCTGTAAGTGGAAGTTTTTCTATTCTTCTCTCTAGCAGACATGGCCTCTGTTACACTTGGGAATAAATAAAGTCACCATCACTAGACTGGATGGAAGATTAATGCTGTTTGAGGCAAGGATTTTTTTTTTAAGCTTAGCTTTACCATCAGTGCCCTCATAGAAAATAAAAATACGAAGAAAAACTCAAGGTTAACTTCATTTAAGGTTCCCTAGGCCATAGGTTTGAAGGGATCTGCATAACAATTTTAAACCTTTAAAAAAAAAGTTTAATCTTTACAACAATCCTGTGATCACCTCCATTTTATAACTGGGAGAACTGAAGCACACAGAAGTTTTAAAAAACCATGCCTCAGATCAGCTAGTAAGTGGCTGAGCGAGGATTTGAACCCAGGTCTAGTAAATCCAGTGCCTCTTATTACTCACTGTACCGTCCTGTTGAAATAGAAACCTGGGTGGGTCCATCACTCTCCTGTTGTTCTGTAACCATGAACTTACCCTGGCAGGGGTGAGGTCTTCCAGAGTATTGAGAAAGGACCAATGTATGCTTGGGACAGCACAAATCCAAAACTGCTTCTGGAAAATATCGGTAGTGCTATCTTCAAATAATCATCATCAAATTTTGATGCCATGGATGCCATCTAAAGTGTCAGTTGTTCTCACTAACAGTTTGTAACACGGGCATCAAGATGGTAAAACGGGACTGGAATAAATGTCTAGATTTAAATAAAGCGTACAGTTTGACAAGTAGAGGAGAGGAGAGTAAGTAAAATGACAATTGAAAATGACAATTTAAAAGTTAACTTTGATGTTTACTTTTTTAAGCACCGAATGTGCATTATACTAGTTTATATGCTCTTTAATATTATACTATTTTTCTTGTGCATGTGTTGTGTGTTGTCCATTCACTAAGACTATAATCTCTGAGACCAATTGTGTATTTAAAAAAAAAAAGGAAGAAAGATTAAATCATGGGTCAGGAAAGGTTATCTAAGCCTATTCTCAAACAGTTTAATAAATTTGAGCAAACGCATTAGGTTACAGATGCTTAGAGCAGATATAAGAAATAAAAGTAGGGTAATAAGGCGATTTATTTTAACTCCGATCTATTATATTTGGAGGAACTGGCTGGCGGGCTTACAAGGGCTTAGAAGTGTGTATAAACATACCATTAGATGTGAAAAAGGGGAAGTCTGTTATAACTGAATAGGGGTGTGGTCTGCCCAGGTTCAGGAGGAATAGATAAGTTTCATAAAGGACCAATGTATGTGTATTGTCTTCAGAACCGGCGCATTTTCTTTACAGAAGGAATGTATTTGCCTATTACCACCAGGCAGCTTGGTGAGTTAGAGAAAGGGCAGCCTGTGGATTTGGGCACACGGGCTCTGGGCCTCCACCTCGTCTTGCAGGTAACCATATACCTGGAGCCCCTGTAATCCTAGCGCAGGTACATGGATGCACTAAGTGGTGTGATGGGAGGGGAAGATCGCATCACAAGGATTCGTTTGATTGTTAACAGTAATCCACACCAAGTCAAATAAAACAGCCAAACAGTTAAAAATGGGGTCTCTAATGAATTTGCTAATTCTAGCAGGCCCTCGCAAACATTTCCTGCCGGAGTACCCCGTATCAAAACGAAATACCTGTGCTTTAAATTACGTGGAATAATTATTTGATTTCCAGGAAGTTAAGACAGCGCTTTGTATTTAAATAAAAAGTCCTAGACATGCTGTGAAACTCGATCAAACCCACAAAAAGGCTGAAACCGAATGCCTGTGCAGTGAGTCAAGATTTCGGCCGCTCGGCAAGCCTGACGTTCCGGCTTACGAGCCCAGAAAAAGGGGCATTTCAGAATGGGCCGCCTGGGCCGTGTCCCCTTCAACCCCTGCCTTTGCAGAGGCCTGGCGCATCTGCGGCGGAGGGGCCCGTCTCGGGGCTGCCGGCACCCCTCCACATCAGCAGGAGCCCCCAGTTTTCCGGGGGCGCGACCGCAGCCCGTCGCCCTCACTTTGGGAGGGTTGTTAAAATGCTGGGGCCCCTAATCTTAACGGCTTTGACGTGAGTTTGGGGCAGGAAGGGGGGGGGAGGCCTGCGGGTGTCCGTTTTGCCCGAGGAGTTGGAGACCCTCGTGCTGAAGTGCGGCCCGCGGCGCCCCGGCGGCCGCCCCGGCGTGGGGCCGGCTCGGGTTAGACACTCGCACACACACCATAGAGCTCGCTTTCCCGTAGCAGCTGCTGCCTCTGCCTCTGCCTCTCCCGCCTCAGCCTCTCTGCCCGGCATCCACACACATTCAGATTTGCGCGCTGTTTCAATCCTCGATGACGTGTCCCTGCAGACAGCCAATGGCCGCCGGGCTCTGGTCAGGACAATGGGAGGGAGCGGGCCAATGAGCGGGCCCCGTGAGTTGGCGGTAGCCAATAGGAGGCGCGCTGGCTGGAGAGTAATGTTACAGAGCGGAGAGAGTGAGGAGGCTGCGTCTGGCTCCCGCTCTCACAGCCATTGCAGTACATTGAGCTCCATAGAGACAGCGCCGGGGCAAGTGCGAGCCGGACGGGCACTGGGCGACTCTGTGCTCGCGGAGGGTGAGTCCGGCGCGGCGCGGCGGCGGCGACGGCGCC